CCAGCAAGCCAGCCACCTAAGGAACCAAACTTTCCAGTAAAAACAAAGTGTAGGCCGGGCGCGGTGGCTCAAGCCTGTAATCCCAGCACTGTAGGAGGCCAAGGCGGGTGGATCACGAGGTCAAGAGATCGAGACCATCCTGGTCAACATGGTGAAACCCCGTCTCTACTAAAACTACAAAAAATTAGCTGGGCATGGTGGCGCGTGCCTGTAATCCCAGCAACTCAGGAGGCTGAGGCAGGAGAATTGCCTGAACCCGGGAGGCAGAGGTTGCGGTGAGCCGAGATCGCGCCATTGCACTCCAGCCTGGGTAACAAGAGCGAAACTCCGTCTCAAAAAAAAAAAAAAAAAAAAAAGTGTAAATAAAATTTTATCTTGAAAAATGAAACTGAAAATTATTTCTGTTCTTATATGTAATTTCTACACTTATCCAGTGCCTGTATCTCAAGTACTATTCTAGTGCTAGAGATACAAAGTTGAATATGAAATGCCCTCTAGGAATTCAATCTAACAAGAGAATGGAATGAATAAACACACACAAACTATTAAGGGTTGTGATAATTAACAAGGCCCAAAGTGCTAAGGAGACATAGATGGGAAAGAAACTCATTATGTCTGGTTCTTTCTGAGTTAAGACTTGAAGGAGGAATTTTAAAAGGAGACACCAGGGGAAAGGCTGCCAAGCAGAGGGTAGGGGCAAAGAAAGGCCTGGTAACTGAAAACACAAAGCTCATTCAGAAAATGCAGGGTCCAGTGCAACTAGCTCAATGTTAGTTGCTGTGGTTCGGGGGAAGGAGTGATTTTAAAACAGTAACAACAAAAAGAACCAGTCTAAAAAGTTAGGCCAGGCAGGGTGTGAGCCTCAAGTCTGTAATCCCAGCACTTTGGAAGGCCGAGGCAGGCAGATCACCTGAGGTCAGGAGCTCAAGACCAGCCTGACCAACATGGTGAAACCCCATCTCTACTAAAAATACAAAAATTAGCTGGGCATGGTGCTGCGCACCTGTAATCCCAGCTACTCAGGAGGCTGAGGCAGGAGAATCGCTTGAACCTAGGAGGTGGAGGATGCATTGAGCTGAGATTGGACCACTGCACTCCAGCCTAGGTGACAGAGCAAAACTCCATCTCAAAAAAATAAATAAATAAAATAAAAAGGTAGGCTAGGACTCAAGTTTAGACCATGCAAACAAGTTTGGATTTTATTTTCCAATATTTGAAAAATCCACAGCAACAGGATATAGAATGAATTAGGAGGAACCCACAAAAGGCAAGAAGATGCACAACCACCTCCTGTTACAGCGTCTAAGCAAGGACAGCAAAGGGAGCAGGCAGAAGGTAGGAGATACAAAAAGTTCATCAGGTCTGAGTTACCACTGCGTGCAGAAAAGGGATTTCTGGGGGAATACAGAGTTAGAAATGATGCTGGGGCTCTAGCCAGGCTGCTGTTACAAACGCAGAGAGAAAGCAGAAACACATTCCTGGGCGGAGAGGAGCCAAAGGGTTAAATCTGGAATAGGTTGAATGCACTGAGTTGAGGTGGTGAAATCTGATAAACTCCTGCAGATGCACTGGCACTCAGTGAAACATGGAGCTCCAGAAACAGATTGCAGCCAGGTGTGGTGGCTCACATCTATAATCCTGGCACTTTGGAAGGCTGAAGCAGGACTGCTTGAGCCCAGGAGTTCAAGACCAGACTGGGCAACATGGCAAAACCCCATCTCTACAAAAATTAGCCAGGAGTGGCAGTGTGTGCCTGTAGTAGTCCCAGCTACTCGGGAGGCTAAGGTGGGAGGGTCACCAGAGCCTGGGAAGTTGAAGCTGTAGGAAGCTGCCATCACACCACTGCATTCCAGCCTGTGTAACAGAGTGAGACCTTCTCTCAGAAAAACATACACACACACACACACACACACACACACACACACACACACACAAACAAACACACACCCCAGAATCAGATTGGGAAACGTCAATAAAATTTGAGAGCTGGAGACATAATAACTGCAACTGCCTACAAAGAATCACTGAATTTCAACCAAGTGAATTCCTCTCCTCTCAACCTCCAAATGCCCTTGTCTTTTTTAAAAGCTGGACATCACTTTCTCATGTCCTAAATCATCTTTTTTCTCCTTATTAAAATTATTCCATAACTACATTTCTCTTCTACAATTCTTCCAGAACACAGGACTGAAATAGTGTATACTCTTGCCACATTATGTAAAAAGATCATCCAAACCAAAAGGAAAGCTGTGTTTTCCAAGACTACTAACTCCTGGAGAAAAGACATCCTCAGCATTTAATATGTGGTTTGAGCAAAATGCAAAAGTTTAACCAAAGAGTGACTCTCCCTGGAGAAGGCCATGAAAATGTCTTAGGGCTGGATCTAGGGTATCCAAACATTTTCACAGGCCGCAGGCTAGAGCACTGGTGCAGGAGAGGGGGACACCAGAGACCTGGAAGTCAGGCTTTGAAGGCAGTAAACGGCCACTGACTTCAGGTGTCACTTCTCCTCTAGGTTTTTCACTTCACAGACTGACGAGTACATGGCCTAGAATGATCGCCCTTCTAGTTGAGAATTTTCAGGCCTAACTAAAAGTGGATTAACGTAAACCTTGGAGAAAGCTGCATATTTTTTAAGTGTCATTAAGCAATTCAGGGATTATCTAAACACCTTTGGTTTTCTTTTCTGTTTCCTTACCAACTGCCTTTTAAATCTCACTCTTAGCTCTTAAGCATGACTGTCAGAGGGGCTGAAGCACAAAGAGGAAGTGAAGCTCAAAGAGTGAATTTTGCTGCATTGGCAGCTCTGGTGAAAGACAGTGGGCCCGGAAAAGGAATCAAATGACCAAAACTGGATTTGGGGATTACTGTTGGCAGCCAGCCAGCAAGTTCTTAGATACTGCACACAACTTGGTCAGCCAGTTCAAAGAAAATTGCCAGAAAATGATGGAATACATTTTTTCGGTATTTTGTTTTGTTTTTGTTTTTGTTTTTTTGAGACAGAGTCTCACTCTGTGGCCCAGGATGGAGTGCAATAGCACAGATCTTTCCTCACTGCAACCTCCACCTCCTGGGTTCAAGCAATTCTCCTGCCTCAGCCTCCTGAGTAGCTGGGACTACAGGCATGTAGCCCAGGCTAATTCTTGTATTTTTTGTAGAGATGGGGTTCACCATGTTGGCCAGGCTGGTCTCAAACTCCTGGCCTCAAGTGATCTGCATGCCTCGGCCTCCCAAAGTGTTGGGATTACAGGCCTGAGTCACAGTGCCGCTGGAAAGACATTCTTAAACTTCTCAATAGAAGGGTACACACACTACGTTGAATGGCTATCTCTTGGGAGCAGACTGGTGAAAAAAAGGGGTATTTATATTTTTCTGTTAAGTTTGAATAACTACACATGTACTTCTGTAATTCAAATTTAAGATGAAATATTATCAGGTTTTTAAAAAGGAAAAAATGGACGGGCGCGGTGGCTCACGCCCGTATTCCCAGCACTTTGGCAGGCCGAGGAGGGTGGATCAAAAGGTCAGGAATTCGAGACCAGCCTGGCCAATATGGTGAAACCCTTCTCTACTAAAAATACAAAAAATTAGCCGGGAGTGGTGGCAGGTGCCTGTAATCCCAGGTACTCAGGTGGCTGAGGCGGAGGTTACAGTGAGCAGAGACCGCGCCACTGCACTCCAGCTTGGGGACAGAGCAAGATTCCGTCCGAAAAAAAAAAAAAACAAAGGAAAAAATATTTCTACCTTACTCTTAGGAGCCACGCCTCCCACCTTTGTCTACTAACAGCTATATGATGTCTCAACAGTCTCTCACGGAATGAGACAATGCTACTCCTCCACTAACAAATGACTCCTTCAGACGGGAAAAACATCAGATCTCGAACTCGAGAAAGCAGCAGAAACAAGTTTTAAAAGTGATCCTGTTTTTAAAGCCAGACACAACACCCCACCTTCATCCAAGGCCCTAAGCCGCAGACTTTCTAGACCCATTAAGCTTCAGCACCGCACGCACTTCGTGATAGGACGGCATTGTTCTCCCAGAATACACCCCTTTTCTCCTGAAACCGACGTTTTTACAAAAGCCTGCCAGCGCACGGCCTGCGGCGGCCGCGGACCGCTGCGCCGGGATGTCCCGAGGGCTGGGGAAAGGAGGGCTTTCGCCGGCTGCGGTCCCCGGCCCCGGCCCCGGCCCCGGCCCCGCCCCGCGTCACCTGACCGGCCCGTGGCCCCCCGCCCCGCCGCCACCGACCTGATGACACTGATGTGGAACTGGTCCTCGCGGAGGCCCCGCCAGGCGCCGGGCAGGAACTCTTTGCACCACAGATAGGCCCTGCGCCGCGTCCGGGGCTCCGGCTGCTCGTCGGCCGGCGGCGGGGGCGGCGGGGGCAGCGGCAGCGGCGGCGGCGGCGGCGGCGGGGGCAGCGCGAGCGGCGGCTGCCGGCCGCCCAGCTGCTTGGACTCGAGGTCGCCGGGGGCGTCGCGCTGCTGCCCCACGCCGGGCGCCGGGGCCGCGCTGCCGCTGCCGCAGCTCAGCAGCAGCCCGAGCGGTGAGGGCTCCGCCTCGCCCCCGGTGCAGAACTTGGTTTTCATGCCGGACAGGCGGCCGACGAGGCGCGGGCGGCCGCAGCGCGAGAGGACGAGGCTCAGGGTCCGGCCGAACGCCCGCTTCTGGGGGCCAGGCGGGAGGCCGCTCGCCGCTCTCTGACTGGCCGGCCGGCGGGGCGGGGGACGGCGGGCCGCGGCGGTTGGGCGCGCGGGGCGGCTGCGGCTGCGGCTGCGGCGGCTGTGGCGCGGGGACGTGCTGCTGTTTGCTGCGCTAGCTCTACTGCGGCCGCCGCACGAGGAGCGCCAGCCGCGTCACAGCCCGCCCTCGCGCTCGCCGCTCATTGGCCGCCGTCCGCCGGCCCGGCGCATCACAACCGCCGCCGCCCCCGCCACGCCGCCTCCCCATTGGCTGCGGCGCCGCCCCCTCCTGGAGCGCTGCGGCCTCAGGGAGCGGAGCCTGGGCGGAGGGGGCGGGGCGTGGAGGGGGCGCCCCCGGTCGCAGGGAAGGAGGAGAGGGGGAGCGAGGCGCGGGGGGCGCCGGCAGAGCAGCTCCGGGGTGGAACGGAGCCGCACTGGGCAGAGCAGGGGAGGCTCCAAAGCCTCGGAGGACACCGGGGTTGGCTTTGGGAGCTGAAAGTTTCCCTGGATCCCTCGGAAGCCCCTTGACATCAGAGGCCGGGCCTGGCAGGGACAGGAGGAAACGTGTCTGGAGGCTACGGCCCTCTCCGCGTGACCTTGGGCGAGCCGCCGCCTCCTGGGGCTCAGTGGATGTGATTTTGTAACATTTCCCAGCGCTGTGCAAGGCGCGTTCTCGCCCGTCAAACGCTGAGCCCGAGGAATTACTAAGAAACCGAGGCCCGAAGGAGGGAAGAGGTGACGGACTCCAGGCCACACGGTGGGCCAGGCTGGGCCGGACTGCGCGCCGGCTACCCAGACCCAGCCCTCTGCACGCCCCCTGCAGCCTCAGTTTCCCTGTCCGTGGTGCTGAGGATGCTCGGGCCTAGACGTTCAGGGCTGGAGGCCCAGGGACCGGCGAGGGAGGGGCATCATCCCCGCCACTGAGCTGCCGCTACTGCGCAGAGCACAGGCCAAAGGTGCGTGCCACGGGGCTGCTGGCGTTGTGGACGCTGTCACCTTCCTCCCCGTCCCCCTCAGGAAACAGCCTTGTGACCGTGATTAATACACCTTTGCCGGGGTAGGGGGGCAAGGGCCCCTGCTCCCATTTGCCACACACTGCCCCATGTTCCTCACTGCTCTTTGCCCTGCTGCTTTTGTCCTTCCTGGAAGTGAGGTACAGATAAATATGAAAATTACGGACCCCATTTTATGGGACATGAGCTGAAACGAGGTTTCCTGGGCTGCCAGAGGCTTAGGAAATCCAGTGCCTGGCGCACAGGAAATGGCTTCCATGCAGGGAGTTCACAGTCTGCCAGAAGCAAAAATCTTTTAGAGTGTGTACTTGGCTGAACTTGCCCCAAGAAGAATGGTCTTATTGAACAAAGAATAAAAATGAAAGGGGACTAAATTTTACAAGGCTGCTGTGGCAATAGGTCTGGAAGTTGACCTGCAGGGAGCTAGGAGAGACCAAGTCCTCTGGGACAGAGGCCAGCCAAGGTGGGAATCTCACTGGATATTTGAAAGGCTGAGACGCCAAGGGCTTCAGTCTGGGGAGGCCATTTGGATAAAGGAGCCAAAGACTTTCCTCTAAAAATACCAGCTCACAGGGAAGTGGAGCCATGCCACTGGCCTGCCCAGGTGGCATGCCCTTTGTCCCACTGCCCCCTGGCACCAGTCTGATAAGCTCAAAGGAATGCCAGAAATCTGGCCAGGAGCAGGGGACACTAAAGTAAGGAGTGGCTCTGTAATTTGAAATAACTCTTTCTGGCATCTGCTTTGTTTTGTTATGAAAACCCTGAGATATTTTTATGGGATTACCATTCCCTGTGGGAGTAGGAGGTTGCCTCATGGCCAGGCACGGCAGCTCACACCTGTAATCCCAGCACTTTGGGAGGCCAAGGCAGGAGGATCACTTGAGCCAGGAGTTTGAGACCAGCCTGGCCAACATAGCAAGACCCCATCTCAAAAAGTAAAAACGAAAAAAAATTAACAGGACATGGTGGCTCACACTAATCCAACTACTTGGGAGGCTGAGACAGGAGTATTGCTTGAGCCTGGGAGGTCAAGGCACCCACTGCACTCCAGCCTGTGCAACAGAGTGAGACCCTATTTGCTGAATGTATGAATCAGTGAGATCCTGGCTCAGCACTTATTAACTTATGACTTTGGGCTGAGCCTCAGTTTCCTCAACTATAAAATGGGGATTATGCCCAGAGCACCAGGCTATTGTAAGCATTGAATGAGAGAATGTATACAAAATGCAGAGGACAAAAGAAGCACCCATTTTGTTGCCTGCAGTGCACCGTATGGTACTGCCTCTGCCGGTGGTTGGTTTTCAGAGATGAATAATGCAGACACTTGTAGCAATTCACAGCCTGGGAAGACAATGTCGTATAAGAAAAGAATTTGGGCTGGGTGCGGTGGCTTCTGCCTGTAATCCCAGCACTTTGGGAGTCTGTAGTCCTAGCTACTCAGGAGGCTGAGGCAAGAGAATCGCTGGAACCCAGGAGGCAGAGATTGAAAAGGGAGCTTCACCAGGGGTAAAACCATTCTCTAAAGCCAGTAGGACCTGGGACTCCACCCAGGACCCCATTAAGGGGAAACTTGTCCTTCTGGCCTTCTGCACCATAAGCACCTTTGGCCCGGGAAGCACTAGATATTTGGCACAGTGGGGGTTCCCTTGCAGGCTGGAGAAGCAGATCCCTGGCAAGGCTGTGCTTGCACCCCCTCCCAGGTCACACCCAGGACCAAGCACCCCTACTGCAGCTCTTAAAATATTGATGAGAGCACAGAGGACACCCAGCTGCAGTCCTCCATGCTGAAGATCGGGTTGCAGTCCTAGCTAGCAGAGTGACATGGAGCTCAGCCTTCCCTAAATGTTGAGTGTGGCCCCAGCCCAGGAAGCTCTGTCAGCAAAAGGCTGCATAGGTTCAGCAGCTTTCTGGAGGTCTCTGAGCCCAAGTGTGGTCTGACTTGGACTGACCCTTCTACCATACATTTGGCCTCAGCATCCATAGCCAGAGCCCAGGGTCCAGAGGGCTCAGAGAAAGCCAGGTGACTAGAATACCCATGTGTCTGGTGGATGGGGCAGGCACTCCTCCCATCCTCATTTGTAGGATTTTGAGTGTAATATTATGGGTAAAAAAATCTAGTTGGGCATGGTGGCTTATGCCTGTAATCCCAGCACTTTGGGAGGCCGAGGCAGGCGGATCACGAGGGCAAGAGATTGAGACCATCCTGGCCAACACGGTGAAACCCTGTCTCTACTAAAAATACAAAAAAATTAACCAGGCATGGTGGCATCCGCCTGTGATCCCAGCTACTCTGGAGGCTGAGGCGGAAGAATCGCTTGAACCCAGGAGGAGGAGGCTGCAGTGAGCCGAGATTGCGCCGCTGCACTCCAGCCTGGTGACAGAACAAGACTCCTTCTCAAAAAAAAAAAAAAAAAAAAAAAGCAAAAATTAGCCAGGCATGGTGGTACACGTTTATAGTCCCAGTTACTCGAGAGGCCAAGGAAGGAGAATCACCTGAACCAGCGAGGCAGAGGCTGCAGTGAGCTGAAATCATGCCCCTGCACTCCAGCCTGGGCAACAAGAGCAAGACTCCATCACACAAAAACCAAAAAATATTTAGAGGTCATGCTGCCACCCACGGTGTGACCTTGAACAGAGTATCTACCTCTCTAAGCCACTTTCCTCATTCCCTAATGGGTCCTACTCTACAGGTTTGTTGGGGAGATTCACAGAAACCAGCAAGGAAAGAGCTGGATGCAGAGCCAAGGCCCCACAAAGGGTGTCTGTGCTTTTCTGCTTATTGTTAGCTAGATTCCCGGAGCCTGGCAGAGAGCAGCCGTCACCCGTTCATCCCAAGTGCCAGTGGCAGGGCAAAGCCTGTAGGATCTCTGCCAGGTCCAGCAGGGCCTGGAGACTTTTCCGTTCTTTGAAGCTCCTGGCATATTCAAAAATTAAGAAACATCTAGGCCAGGCACGATGGCTCACGCCTATAATCCCAGGATTTTGGCAGGCCGAGGCGGGCAGATCACCTGAGGTCAGTAGTTCATGACCAGCCTGGCCAACATGGTGAAACCCTGTCTCTACTAGAAATATGAAAAATTAGCTGGGCGTGGTGGCGGGCACCAGTTACTCAAGAGGCTGAGGCAGGAGAATCACTTGAACCCGGTAGGCAGAGGTTGCAGTGAGCCAAGATCTTGCCACTGCACTTGAGCCTGGGCAACAAGAGTGAAATTCTGTCCCCACCTCCCCACTCCCCCCACCAAAAAAAAAAAAGAGTCGGGTACATTGGCTCACGCCTATAATCCCAGTACCTTGGGAGGCTGAGGCGGGCAGATCACTAGGTCAGGAGTTCAAGACCAGCCTGACCAACATGGTGAAACCTCATCTTTTTTTTTTTTTTTTTTTTTTTG